ATAGTAATGAATTACAAAGCATAGAGGAAAATAGAACTCTGTAAGTCATTACTGATTTAAATAATTAATCAACAAGTTGGGCAGAAGGGAAAGGTATTCCATGGAGTCGAAAACTGTTACACGGTAGGTAAAAGGAGCAGTGAGGCCGGATGTGGTGGGTGTCTGTAATCCCAGCTGCTCAGGAGGCTGAGGCAGGAGAATTGCTTGAACCTGGGAGGTGGAGTTGCAGTGCATCAAGATCATGCTGTCGCACTGTAGTCTGGGTGACAGAGCAAGACTCTGTTGGGTTGGTGGGGGGTGAGAGGGAAGGAGCAAAGAGACTACCAAAGCACCATTTGGCAACTACAGTAGTAATAGTTGCTTCTAGTAAGAATTATTAATAGGTGTTGAAAGTAGTAATTTTTTTAAAAAACAAGATATTTATGTAGTCTGGAAATATCTATCTATTGTAAAGATACTGTTTTCCCTTTTTAACTAGTAAGTTTCTAGTTAAAAAGGGAAAACAGTATCTTTACAATAGAGAAACTTGGCATATGGTCAAAGCTAATATCACTTGTAATGATACAAAAGTGACATCATGTACCTCTTGATATTATGCATTGTGCAGAACATACGTCTCTGATCTTCCTGCCACAAACCACATAACCTGAATCTAAACACCCCCACCAAAAAAAAAAAAAAAGTAGATAAACCCAAATCGAGGGCCACTCTACAAAATAAATAGCTTACAGTTTTCAAAAATACTGAGCTCATGAAAGGTATGGACTAAAGAACTCTTCCAGGAGAGTAAAGTGATGACAACTAAGTGCTATGTGTGATTCTGGATTAGATCTTAGATCAGGAAGACAAAGAGATGTCCTTGTTTTTAGGAAGTCAGAGGGTAAGTAAAGGGGAAAAGAATATCATGCTTGCTACTTACTTTTAATCGGTTCAGGAAAACACTGTGTGTATGTGTGTGTGTGTGTGTGTGTATGTGTGTGTGTGTGTGAGAGAGAGAGAGAGAGAGAGAGAGAGAGAGAGAGAGAGAGAGAGAAATGTGTTAAAATGCTAACATCTAAGAAATCCAGGCAAAGGGTATGTCTGCAGTGTTTCTGTAAGTCTGAAATTATTTCAGAATAAAGTTCTTTTTAAAAAGTAACTAGTTTTTTAAAACATAGCTGGTTGAATGCTGTGTCCCGGTAGGAAATCCCTTATTCTACCTCTCTCCTTTTATTTTTAAATTCTGTGTTGCATTTTATAAATTACACATATTTGTAAAAGTTTCAAATGATGCAAAATTGTACAAAAGTCTGTGCCCTCTCCCACTCCTGCCACCAGATTGACTGCTGTTAACAGGTTGGTTGTCTCATTCTCAACCTTTCTGGACTTAAACAGAGAAGTATACACGCAGATGTATATACAGTCTCCTCTCCAATACTGCTAAACATTGTTGAGTATCTTTTTTTAACTTAATCTAGCCATAGACGTCTTTCTCAATATGTATATATAGTTCTGCTTTGTTTTTAACCATTATTTCTCTAAATGAATTATTGCATTGTCCCTAAAATTCATTGTCAAGGACTGATGGACTGACCTCAGTGTAGAACCATTTGTAAGGACACTGAGAGCCTGAAGTTCACAGAATTGAAGTACTGTTTATTGTACCAACTAACCAAGACTCTTTCAGGCATGAGGGTACTCTGAAGACCTCAGTGACAGGAATTTGGAGACTTTTTCTCTAGTGAGAGGCTATTAAGGTGACTCAAATTTGGTCAACACCATTTTCTGTGTCTCTATATAGGCTCAAGGTTGAAATCTTTTTAGGGGAAAACAGTTTTTGTCATTTTGGGCTGCAGCTGCCCCTTAAGTAGGCAGCTGTGGTCAGAGGAATAAAGGCGCAGAACACAGACATTGGCCCCTGAGTACCCTTCCCAAAGAAGAAGGCTTAGAGGGCAGTAGCCATCTCACCCAGCTTCTCTTCGTGGGCCGCTCTAATGGTGCGATGTCTGATCTGTTCCGGTCTCTTCACTGAGTCTGTCTAATTTCTACACCTCTAGAGTTACCGCCAACCACTGTGATTCTCAAATGTGCTCCCTGCACAAGCAGCATCAGCATTACCCTGACTTGTTTCAAATGCAAGTTCTTAGGTTCCATCTCAGAGCTACTGAATCAGAAACTCTAGCAAGTCCTCCAAGTTGATTCTGCTAACATTTGAGGATCACAGATCTACTATATAAAGGTGATCATATTATCCTCCCATTTAAAAACCCTAATGGCTCAGCCACACACGCACTCCAAAGTCCTCACTCACAGCATAAGAGGTCCCATAAGAGGTCCTTTGTGATTTCACCCTAGCCTGTTTGTTCTGCCACCCCACCCCACTTTCTGCATCCTGTTACTGAGAAATTTGCTGAGCTCTTTCCTGAACTGCACCTGGTAAACTTTTACTCTTCCATCACTTCCTCTGGTGCCTTCCCTGGCTCCCTGGCATGAAACTGCCCTGGTATACTCTTAAGTATACTGGACTAACAAAAATACATTGTTTCTAAGCAGTGTCCTTTATCTCTCAGAGTTTGTCCTGGGTGGGGAATTCAGTCTCTGTAGATTATATGGAACCTGGGTCAGTTGATGAGACTGTTGGCTGTCCCTGTAGCCAGTCAGATTGAGGTGCTTGTAAGTAACTGTTTATTTGCAAATTAATATATTGATACTCAGAAACTGTCCTTTCTGGTCCATGTAATAAATAGGACACCATTTACATATTGTTACGAGAAGAGTAGTGGATTATGAGCAAGAAAGGAAAAGGTTGGTTTTGAAAGACACAGGTTCACCCTTTCACTTGCCAGTAATCTTATCCTGACAGCATGTAATGTTAAGTAACTGCAGCCAGAGAAGAATCTTAGTAGGCTTTAATTAAAAACACAAGGAATGTTTTTTCTTTTGTCTCTTCTTCCTGTCTGCCTTTCTTTCATCTTTTCTTTCTTCTCTTATTCATTTCCGTGTTCTCCCTTCTCCTGCCCCTCTCTCTCTCCTCTTCATCAACTCATAACACTTAAAATGTTTTTGGCTTGGCTAATCCCTATGGATGGAAACTTAGCTGAGCAGGATATTGATTACCAAATATGGTATTGCTGCTAAAGATGTTAGAGGAATGTGGCTTGTATTCTGAGCCTCTGGCCTCTGAATAAGCTGCCAAACAAATTAGGTCATTTTAACTTCTGAGCTTTTTTTTTTTTTTAATAAGGATGCTGGAACTTTGATTTGGAACACTATGTTGATGTTATTTTAGCTCAGATGGGAGGAAGGGGGTAAAAAGAAGGGGACAGGGAGTGAGGGAAACTTAGTTCAGCCTGTTTTAGGACTTGAGCCACCAGCCCAGGTTGTGTAAGAGACAAGTACATTATGCGGAGCTTCAGTTGATTCTGGAACACCAGTGAAAGAGCTGAGGCATGGAATTCGCATGTGCAGCCTTGTTTTCTGAGGCTAGACACTCTAGAGGACCACGATCGGGTCCCAGGATACTCCATGTTATCCCCAGTGGCCTGGGCCACATGATTCATGGTCATGCGAGCTCAGATTTAGGAAGTGTCTTCTTCACAGGAAGGTTGGTCAAGTTTAGTGCCAAGGGAGTATGCCCTGAAGTTGATGGGAAGTTGCTATTATGTGTATCTGATGGAGTGTGGTGCAAATGAGCAAGTCCTTCCACAGCATACCTGTACATGACACCCAAGGACTGTGCTTGTCTCCCAGCAAAGACCACAGTTCTGCAGGTCCATTCTTGGAAAGATGTATTCTGTGGTGTTAGTAGCTTTGTTAGGGTGGAAGTTGGTCCATCTCAGTGAGGTCCTTTGTGACTTCCCCCAGCCTGCTTCAGAATGCAGCTTTGTTTTTTGGTTTTGTTTTTTCTTGTATACTTTTTCGGCAAAATAATATTGAGGTTTCCCAAATTTAAAAAGAAAAAAACGCATACTACCAACACCAATTTAAGAAAATTTGTTTTTATGTTTCACAAAATGGACACTGTCTTTTTTGCTTTTTGGTGCTGATTAGGTATGCACAAGGGTATTCTCCCCAACCCTTTTGCTATGGCCCTCAGTGCTCATGAAGAAATCCCACCCACTCCAGGACTTCTGGATCAGGGCTCTGTGGCTTTTGTTAGGCCTTTCTAAGGACCTCTTTTTCCTTCCCCTTGCCCACTTATTTCCTCTTGATGCCATTACCATCCAGCCACAGGCTCTTCCTTGTATGTTGAAGCTGAGTCTGTGAAGTTCAGAGTTGTTCATCCTGGTCTCTGGAGTAAGAGAGTCTTATTTTTGTGGATATTGCTCTTACTTTTCTTGAAGCTCATTAAGAAGAACGGTGGGGGGCAGGGGATGCTTTGGAGCCCACAGGCCTTTTTGTGTACATTCAGAACACTAGATGGCAACTGTGTTAATAGGAGACTCATTTTCAGGACTCCAATCCCTTTCTATGGTGATATAATCATGGGAGCTGAGTGGGTCCCATGGGTGCACATTTAAAATGCAGTCTATTTTGGATATCTTTCTGATGCGTAGGGTCCAGAATTCATGTTATTGGATGCTTAATAATGAAGGTATTCTTGAATGGTGGAATGGTTCCAGTTAGACTTCTCTTGCCCTAACTTGTCCTTCACAGTGTTTGTGATTTATTTTACTAAATATGATGTTTTAGATAAACTTTCAGGAATAGAGTCAAAGGTAACTTAAATTCCTGTACATTAAGATGTGTAACTGTGCTAGGAATTTGCTGGTTCAAATTTTAAACTGGAAACCTTTTGTCTAAAAGGTGGGTATTGAAAATCTGTGTAACTAAATTTTTTAAGTAAACTAAATCCCACTGACTTTTGGGATTCTTTGTGTTGTCGTTTTTCATGTGACCTGTGTAAGTAGTAAGAATGACCTTTTTTCCTGATAGACCAGGTTTACTGGTGTTTATTTTGTCACCATTCTGGTTTGACTAAAGAAATGAAAACATCTTCCATTTGTTCTTTATTTCCAAAGGGCATCCGCTTTGATCCTGAAATCCCGCAAACACTGCGACTAGAGTTTGCTAAGGCAAACACGAAGATGGCCAAGAATAAACTCGTAGGGACTCCAAACCCCAGTACTCCTCTGCCCAACACTGTACCTCAATTCATTGCCAGAGAGCCATGTAAGTCAATCTACTTTTCATTTAGAAATAATAACAACTAAGAATTGTTCATGTGTTGCATGTGAGGTTACACCATGGGACATGGAGCTGGCTGAATCTTATTTTCCATTTCTGTGAAGAGGTTGCCTAGGCAATCTTGGTGTCAGAATTCCAAATACAGCAATCTTGTTTGGGATTGGCTGTCCCAAAAGATGGTTCCACTTCAATAGAACCATAAGTTCAGAATTGCATTTGATGTACTACAAATTTTCTTTGTGAGTATGCCCCTAGTTGCCTTGGGTATAAACCCTTCATTCCCCCATGTTCGGGCGTGACAGCTGGTTGTCAGTATTTAATTTGCTAAATTAAATTTTACTAAAAGAGCAAGTCACTATTTCCATTTGTTGAAGGACATCAGCTCAGTGGCTTTGGAAAAATAGGATATTAAAAATGAAGGAAGCAGATCTTACGAAGTTGGTTCCATTCAGCCATAACTCTAGGGGGAAAAGTAAACACATGGAAAGAATTTATGTATTGGAACCGTCAGTCTAGCAAACTGTGATACCATAAAACATTAAAGAAATCTGGGACTTCCTGTTTTAACTTAATTGGATAAGGACACCGGCTAATTGCTCAACAAGTCTTCTACCCAGCGTTAATGAGCTTATTTCATTATATGTCCATACTGCCATTTCTGTCTTTCATTGAATAACTTTAAAAGATTATCTGAAATTTCTTTCTTAAGCTCTGTCAGTGGCAGAAGTGGGGCGTGAGACAGGCCTTGACTCTTCCTTTCATTGCAGAGGCATATGTGATTTAATATGGCAGAGTGTTCAAGGAAACCCAAGTGACGTGGATTCCAAGTTATTTGGAATATTTCTGTCCCATCTCTTTTTTCCTGCTTTCTAAACCACAGAATGGTGGTCTTCTTCCTTTGATGATACATTTTATCTTTCTTACTGAATTTGAAGGACACAGGGATTTTTGGCTTTCCCCATGTCGTGCATGTCAGATTTAATCACATTATCTTTGGAAGTCACAGCCATTCTGTGGCTCAGTCACTCTTGAGAAACCTGAGAAACCTCAGTAGAAACTAACAGATAACTCTGCCAGCATGTTCTAAAATAAATGTTTCTATGAAACCAGAAAATCATAATAGAGAAAAAAATTATTTTGTTCTTCCACCTTCTTTGTTCAGGGAAACTAGAAACCTTTGCTTATTTGGGAAGGAAATCTAAACAAAAGTTACATCTTATAGTGTACTTGCAGTACAGATGGATTTAGGACATTCTTTACATCATTCTTTATAGTATCTAGCATAATACTTTGTATATCGTATATATTTAATATTATAGTGAGTAAACTGATACTGAAATTGGGCTAGTTGTAGAACTATAGACTCACTTGTGTGCCTCCTGTCTCTGAAATTTCTTCTTTTTTGATCAAGGTATCACAAAGGAATATTTTTAGGATACTTTATTTAGCAAAGATAACCTAAAGCAATTCTTTGCCTTTTTAGTGAATTTGCCAGCCTCAGATTTCAGGGTTCTTTGAAAAGATTAATTCAGACGGGAAATGTAATGCCGGTGATACTTAACTGTACATTTCCATTTATCTGCTGAATACTCTTTTTATCAGGACCACAAAACTTTTTCTGAATCTCCTCCAACAGCCCTGTGAAATAGGTAGCCAGGAAGGTAGTAGTAGCCAAGACATGATATGCTATACAAAGCAACAGTTATGAAAAACCTGGACATTCACAAGTCCCTGAAGTTACAGGAGAGCACAGAAACAGAGCTTAGAACTCTGTTCTGGCAAGCTCTGCTCACCTCCCTTCCTGGCATACCAGAACGGTGCAAAAATGGCCAGATAGTTTCCATGACAGGGTAAAAACTTACCCAACGGTTCACAGCAACACAGATTTGAAGTTTAAAAAAAAAAAAAAAAAAAAAAAAGAAAAAAAAATCCAAGCAGCCAGCAGTGTATTCTCAAGAAAATAAAAGTTAGTGTGATTTTTCTTAATACAGCACCTTTTTACAACACAGTGTCTTGATGAGAGCAAGTTCATTATGGCTCAGGTCTACTTTAATATCCATTGCCCTTCCCTCTGGGAACTGGGGACTTGCCTGTCACATGCAACTGTTGTTTTCCTGGAAGCACACTGCAAGACTAAAAACATTACATTGGGTCTACATGGACAAATCCAGTTGCATTGTACTCGGAATTGGTACTCAAGTTGGTCATTTTCACTACTTATCAGGTGTAGACTCTAATAGAATTGCAGAATTTGTGGTGTGGAAAGGCCCTGAAGGCTAGTCTTTGTTGTAGGCCTTAAGAGAGAGATTTTTTTTAATAAATGTTTCTTTTTGTTAATGTTTTTATATGGTAGTGACTGAAAAGCACTGGTTGCCATCACTAAAGGAATGTTCTGTGTTTTGATTTTACAACAAACATTCACTTGAACTCTCAATTTCTCCATAAATATCTGAACTTAATGAACTTAAACGAGCACCCAGTGTGCTAGACTCTGGAGAAGGAAATTGGTTGTTGCTGTAAAAGAGCTGTCATTCCAGGGAGTTGATGGTGGTCAAAGTTGTCTGAAAAACTTGGCCCCATATGGAGGACGTAAAAGAGATTCTGCAGCTTAGTTCAGATTGCCCCCGAATCAGACTGCTGTATTTGCTGAGTATTTGCACCAGGGATGAAGAGTGAGAAAACTGGTTGTTGCAACTTGCCTGAGTAGATAGTGGCCTGCTGTGGAGAACCTTGGCTTCAGGGTAGAAGATGTCAGTGAGAATCCTGTCAGTAATTCTGCCAATTTTTGACAAGCTTTATGACCTTTAAGGAAAAAAAAAATAACTTAGTTGTGCTCCTATTCCCTCAGCTATAAAATAGAAATAATACTTTCTGCACTTGATTGTTAGGAGAGCTACATAAAACAATATTCCAAGATTGGGCTGAGGATTAAATACATACAGTGTATCAATGAGTACTAGGTAAATGTAAAGTACAATCATAATTTGTTAATTTTAAAAAAAAGCATGGGGTTGCCTTTCCTAATAGTTACAGCAGGTATTGATCTTCCAAGGTGTCGTCATAGTGTGAGTGCAGCCAACTGTCTTTGCAAGTTAGGAGAAAGGATGAGTCAAATTGACATACAATTTCAAGAAAGTAGTGCATCTACCGGCTTAAGTTTCTATTTGATCCTTAATTTGAGCTTTTCTTTTTCTTCCTTGTATGTAATAAAGTTTGAAAAGACCTGAGAAATCAGGTTAAGAGATGAGGAAGAATTATAAATTACATTAAATTCTCCTAGATTGTGCATTAGATTGTACAAGAAGGTAGTATTCTATAATAATAACTCTACTTTGGAGATGAAGAAAGAGTAAGTCACTTTTTCTGATTTTTGTTTTTCTCGTCTGTAAAGTGATGATGCTGTGTGCCAGGTGCTCTGCGAAGCATTTTATGTGAATTATCTCATTTGATTCTCAAAAGCACTTGTTTTCCAGTTGAAGAAACTGAGGCCTCAGAAAGTCTAATAACTTTCCTGAGGTCACACCATCACATAAGTGTGATGGTTGAATAGTGTCCCCCAGAATTCATATGATGAAGTCTCTGCTCCTAGTACCTCAAAACGTAACCATATTTGGAGATAAGATTTTTAAAGAGATGATTAAGTTCAAGTGAGGCCCTTAGGGGTGGAGCCCTAATCCAATATGACTGCTGTCCTTATAAGAAGAAAAAGAGACACCAGGGATGTATACACACAGAGGAAGGGCCGTGTGAGGACAGAGGACAAGGCAGCCATCTGCAAGACAAGGAGAGAGACTTAAAGAGAAACCAACCCTACGGACACCTAAATCTTGGGCTTCTGGCCTCTAGAACTATGACAAAATAAATAATTGTTTAAGCCCTCACTCTGGTATTTCACTATGGCAGCCCTAGCAATACAATACATCAAGTGATAGAGCAGAGTCTTAAATTCTAGGCTACTTACTTTGTCATTTACTAGCTTTGTAAGTTTGGTTTAGTTACCTATAACCTGTCTGTGTCTCAGTTTTCTCAGCTACCCAACAGCAGTAATAAGGGCCACAGAGTCAGTCCACAGTGACTGTTAGTGTGTATGTGTAAAAATATGTACATTCATGTGCCTTTCATCACTCATAATTATGAGACCTATAGTTTTTCTGTTTTCTGTACTCAGCATCTAACATCTAGAAATACATAATGAAATTTTTTTTAGTAACATACCATAGTTTTATTTATTTATTTATTTATTTATTATTATTTTTTGAGATGGAGTTTCGCTCTTGTTACCCAGTCTAGAGTGCGATGGTGCCATCTTGGCTCACTGCAACCTCTGCCTCCTGGGTTCAAGCAATTCTCCTACTTCAGCCTCCCAAGTAGCTGGGATTATAGGCGTGTGCTACCACACCCAGCTAATTTTGTATTTTTAGTAGAGGTGGGGTTTCTCCATGTTGGTCAGGCTGATCTCGAACTCCCTTATTATAATAGTGCCCTTAAAGGTGGAGGCATTCAGCACTTAATAGAGCCTTTACTCAGTTTAGTCAGAGCCTGTCCTTTCAATTCAATTTTTATGAAGCAAGTATCAAAAGGCTTCAGAACTCTGGAGTAATGAAGATACCTATACTCTAGTCCCAAGGAGTCTGGTTCTGGAGGTCTGTGCTGGGACTTAGTTTCTGTATTTTTTAAAAATAATAATTGTTCTTACAATTTTCATCCACTCTAGCCTTTTAAAAGCTCTTTGGGTAGTTTTGATGTACAGTTAAGTTTAAGATAAATCAAGGAATTTTTAAAGTTAAATTTGTCTTCCTACTCTAATATTCTTCTCTCTTAACCCTGCACCTTTCTTCCCTCCTCCCTTCCCTCTCTCAAACAAAAGCTTGCTCTGTTAGATTGGTACTCTTAGATACCTGATGAGCACATAACCTTTTGGTGAATAATCAGATTACTTCCTTGTTTACCTGCCATGTCCCTGGAATTTCCCATTTATCCAATAC